TGACCGGCTCTGAGATCAACAGCACAGAGTTTGAGTGAGGTAATGATTCTTGTTGTATAAGATCTACAATGTGGTACTAGCGTTAAGCATTGTTACTGCAGAGAGGAAGTGGGTGCTGGTGAGCTCATATACTGGCTTGGATCTTACAGGAACCTAACTGAGTTAGGAGGAGAACAATCCATAGACCCTTTACCACCCAAAATTATATGACTAGCTCTGTCTGACCAGGTGTTTCTTATGGCAGCAGGTCGGTGCTGCTCTGAGCTGAAAGGTTTTATCTCTGGAGCAGGGACGTGAAAACTGGAAAAAATACAGCCCTGATCTCTGGATAAAACCTGAATGAGATTCCCTGTGCCTAACTCTCTTACTACTTGAAAATCCTAGACCAAGTGAAGATGTGAGTTACCCAGCGTCCCAGAAGCTGTCCATGGCAGGGCAAAAGCTGAACCCAAATCTCCAAAGTCGGAGGCCAGTACTTTACTCACAGAGCCATCCCCCCTACAGCACATGTGGATCACTTGATGATTACTTGTTCTGTTCATTCCCTCTGGGGCACCTGGCATTGGCCACTGTCAGCAGACAGGATGCTGGGCTAGATGAACTGTTTTATCTGACCCAGTACAGCCATTCCTATGTTCACATAGTAACCTGGCCCTATCCATAAAGGAGGAGACATTTCCGGCTGGCTGACATGCTTTGGCAAAATCTATTTCCTGTAGAAATATGAGCTTTCCTCAAAACCCAGTGTTTGGAGAGAAAAATCTTGAAGTAATGAAAAAAAGGGATGAAAATGGGGGAATGGTGCAAGACTGAAAGTAGCATGGCCTAGTGGAGCGAGCATGGAACCAGGACTGCAGAGGTCTCTGTTCTTTTCCTGGCTTTTTCAATGTCTGGCTGGGGGACCTTGTGCAACTCACTTCACGTGCCTGTGCCTCAGTTCTGCATTTGTAGAATGGGTATAATGATACCAACCTCCTTTGTAAAGCACTTTGAGGTCTGTAGATATAAAGAGCCAGGTACTGATGGTATTCTTCATAACAACAGATTTCAAATATGTTTGACTCCCCACCAGTAAAGAAGAATTAAAGTTAAAAGTTAAATTTCAATTTGAAATAAAAAATAAACAAATCCTTGTTTACAAATTAAATGAAAAATGGGATTTGATTGCCAATGATGTGAAAATTTTCATTTTTTTGCTTTAGAAATTTAACCTTGTAAAATTAGAAATATTGACAATTTCTTGAGAACATTATTGGGAACATTTTTTTTGCCAACTACTTCTAGAGATTTTTTTAAAATGTTAATGGGAGTTGAGCATCCATAA